ACGGAGGTAACACGAAGAGAAGTCATGAGAAATTTGATCGCCATATTGAAAACATGGCAATTCAGACAAATGAATCACAACGGAAATAACAGTTCAGAAATAATGAAATTTCGTAAATTTTCAAGAAAATCGTATATTTTCCATTCATTTTAATACGTAACCGTTGCACATTTAATTCGCATTTCCTAATATGGTATACAACTCGACACGGTGACAGATGTATAATACTGTCATGTTTGTATTATGCTGGCAGCTGTACATCACACCATAAACACCGCTCGTGAGAAAAAAGTCACTTCCGCACTTGCGTAACTAAATTATACGTATACTATAGAAAGTAAACGTATTCAGTGTGATAACACGCACCAGCATGTGTTAATTTACATCGATAAATGTTTAAAAAGACATTCTAAGTCTTGGGGACACTGAAACCACACTGAAGGCTGGATGGGCGATGGTCGTCTTGCCTGGCGTTATACTTATTAAACAGACCTGATGTGAGACTCAAGGAAATTGACTGTGCATGAATGAAATTAGTGTTTCGTTATGAGATCCGATGGTACCCCACACTAGAAGCGAGTAACTCCTGAATATCACCTTGAATGTCTCTTAGAAGCTTTATCTCACAATACTTATTATTATTATAGCGTTTTGTGCACGTGCAATTACCACAAGAGTAGTACCTGCATTATAAATTTCCGGAAAAAACAACGAAATGTTGAGTTGTTCAAATGTATTTTGTATATATATTTTGAATAATGGTTGATGGCAGAACAACTGTGATATTTGTTTCATGATGAATTGGTAATTTTTGGGGGGATTTTTTCGTGCAGATCCGTTGTTTTGTTATTGATCCTCATTGTCGTCTTCTATTCTGCCATCACCTGAGTTTTCTAATGGTCCATTCCTAACAATGCATAAAATCGTGAAGGTCTCTACCGCGAACATACGCGCACAATTAGCTCAGGTCTTTGTAGGGGGTGCAAAGTAATAACATATTATCAGACACAGGGGAATACACGCAGAAAATCACAATGGGTAGACATGCGCGTACATCTTAATATTGACGTTACATTTCATCGCGATTCCCCATAGTGACGCTTCCTTAGAAGTCTCACGGAGTAGAACAAGATAAGGAAAAAAAACGCGTCATAAAATCCTCATTAAATCTGAAAAAATCACTGTTGGAGTAAACTGTACATTCACACCTATTCTTATCATACCTCAGAGAAATACCGTGTAAAGGTTAGGGTTAAAGCCACCAACGCAGCCTGACCTATTACCATTTGGGAATACTTAGCGTATTGTATAAACTTTATCAATTATTAATGAGCGACATTAAGCGATTTGAAATATGTAACGTGAGTGATTAAATCACGAATTATTTGACAAATATTATAGTACCTGTATTTTTTAAAAAACAAAAATGTACAGAAATGTTCGAAATGTTCGAATTCGAACAATAACCCTCGGCAATTGTAAATTATATAATTGCAATGACATTAAATGATGAAATAAACGATGTGATCATATGTGAGGTCAATATTAATATTGTTTAGAGATCATAACGAAAATGTTATACTTGTTGCGACTCTTCTAAAACACAATGGAGTGTGATAGATGCCTGTTAATACTATTTTTACGACCTCGATGGTGATCTTGCCATGTATACGAATATTCAAGTAAGCTTCAGTGCAAACGTGCCTGGCTGATCGATTTAGAGAGCTAAGAATAAACCGCAATTACGTCATACAGGTTTTGGTGACGTAACCATCAAGCAAACTTTATTTCTAGGAGATTGACCAATAACAATCTTGTTATATTTAATGCCGCTCCAAACGTTTTAGTGAGACGAGGACGCTCTCACTACGGAAATCGAGATTACAACACATTTTGAATGTGACCTTATATTGTAGTGGTTTTAAAGTACAATACGTCTTGCAAACGACGTTATAAGTATACATTCTGTCATAATGTAATACATTGCAATATGCGCATATTAATAAGTACTATATGATATTCTGTATTCAAATGAACACTGGATCGTGCAGCTATGCAATAGAGTGCATGTAGTAATTTCTTTATATATCACTTACGTTCCTATTCTATACCAGTGTTAAGTGACAATGGCAATATGCATATACGTCATCATGACCAAATTCCCGTTATGGAAAGCATAAAGTATTGGCCCAATCACACACACACAGATGACAGTGACGAATTGCGAGATTGCATTGATTGATGATGTCCCATAGGATTGAATTAACCCATTCTCGACTCATTAGTGCCACATTACCGGATATCAAATATGTACATAGCTAGTCAAAGATTATACAATTATATAACGTATAGATTTGAAGGAAGCAAGTAATAAATGCATATCTGACTGAAATCTGCAAATGTTTGTAACAAGTCTCATACATTTTCACGACTTAAACAAACGTAACTGATGGCTGCGTTTTTGTAATTTTATTTTCGACACGGAAAACTACAATCTACACGAATATTAAATATCACGCGTGACTGCTTCCGAAGCCGGACAAACAAACACTGACAGTTCATTTTCTTTATACAATATTGTATGTCATTTAAAATAACCTCTTCTGTCTTTCATTTATCAGATATTAAAGTAAGCATGTATTTTGAAAAAAAAAACCATCGCCACGATGAACTCGAATCCGTGAACAGGAACTACTCGTAAGTTGATCGTTTTTTTCTGCAAATTGGTTTTTCACTTACACACCTGTCGATGTGGTATATATAGAAATATCTAAAAGAAATATCTAAAGCGTTTTCATCCCCGGTCCTATTGATGAATGATAGCGATTAATCAGTTTTCAACTTATGAATTGTTAATGGTACACGTGCATGATTTTATTAATGCCATTATGTTGAGAAATATCGATGGCAAAATATGCGATACGACTGACGAGTTCGGTATTGCATTGAGCGATCTCTGTGTGACGGTCGTAAGTGTACATACATGCATACGTTGCTAGTCTACGATTCTCAGAGCATCATCTGTCATCATCTGAAAAGACTCTTGCTTTCCATGAATATGCTGCAATTCAGAAAAACAATGCTCCGAAATGTTGTAGTCATAAGTAAATTATTTAAAGTGGCAACGTTTACATGAATCAATTCTTTGACGGTGGATTAATGCTGTATGATGCTAATTACACTCTACCACAATATATATATATATATATATATATATATATATATATATATATATATATATATATATAGTACATTATAAAAATAAATATTATAGTAGGTAATGTTAGTCAGTACGAAAAAAATATGTAAAATTAACATTCTGCTATTATTTTTATCTATATAAAAACATTGTCTATATACAGAGATTTAAAACAAATTATAACACAATTCAATAGTACTCTCATTTAAATTAAAAAAAGTTAAATAACACGTTTTCCTGTGTTTCTTAAAAAGGGAGAATTTTCTCGAGTCATATAATTATTTTTGCAGTGTCCAACTTCGAAGAATACTGACTTGTGTCGACTGTTGCGTTGTTGGTTTAACACATTCATCGACCCACTATATATTACTCCTAACAACATAAAGCTAACATCGACCGGTGTGCAACCATAGCTCAGAAACAGCAGAATAGTTCATATATTCCAACACGTGAAATTCCATTAGTCCTTACTGCAAACAAAATAAAAAAAATTAAAATGCACTTACTTTCTGATAGAAAAACAAACCCTAAAATAGCAAGGTAAAGTATTGTCCTGGATACAGAGAGGTGAGAATCCATTGTTGCGACTAACACACAGTTTGCATACGCTATACAGACGAGTCCAAGACTAGCACCTCTGTTTTTATACATGTCAGCAGCACAAAAAAATGACGTATTCTGGTTGCTATCGTTGTTGCTGACGTGGGCGGTATCTAACCCTTATTGCAAATGCCTAGAACGTAACCATACAATAGTTTGTGGATATTTGAATATTTCCACCCTTAATCATCATTTCCTTTGTTACTATGGTAAAAGGTAATTTGGTACAATGACAACCGATTAAATAATGATTGTTTTGAGTGTGCTGCGTAATATGGGGTGATTAATCAGGACGACCACAGGTGTTGAAAAATAATGACCATAATCCTGCCATTATACCTTTCTGAGTGTTTAGTTTAGCATACTTAAATCATTTCCTGCTTTTGAAACACTATCCCTTAATATGATTTTAAAAGTGTCTGTGTAAGCTATTGAGTCGAGTTTTACTGTCATAGAAACTGCATCCTGTACAAATAGGACATACTTGATAATTTAAAGTCCTTTTTACATATATACCACGTTTTTTTACTAGTACCGAGGTAGTGTAGATCGATGAACCATATACTTTGTCCATCCTGTCAGGCAGTCCTGTCAGTGAGGCACCTATAAAATTGATATTAAATCACCTGGCTGAACATCTAATCCATGCCCATCGTGAATGAAAGCTTAAAAAGGATTATATCTTTAGAACGTGACTGCAGGCATTAGTTTAGTGGAAACACTTCTACTTTAGACCAATTACACGTATCACATCACATCACACGTTACATGGTATCTCCACTGCGCATAATACCAACATTCTCTTCTGTAAAATGCTTATTCTTTGGCTTTATTACTATCTTGCGTCATGCGGCAGGTACGGGCATTGAAATGCAGAATGCTTTGTAAGTGAAACATTAAACTAGTGATTGTTTTCAACAGAAACCATAGTACATGTCAGACTGCGTGAAATGGTTATCTGCCTATCTACCTAATTGCATTGTTACCCATCATCATCTACAGACATTAACCAATGAAAGATTCTCGTCCACCAGGGGCGTTGGTGTCCCCATGGGCTCGCATCTGCATGATATAATAAGACATTTTCAACCCTTGGTAATGGATTTGAACTCGGGATCTAGCAACCATGGGCGAGGTGCAACAATCATTGTGCTACTGTTGGTCGACCACGTTAGGCTCTCTGACGTGCTATTCTCGTGTTATAATGCTATAGAATTGCGGTGTAACTGTACTCTAATCGATGATTGAAGTTTACTACCTAGACCAGAAGTTTGGATGATGTATGTTTGAAGCAGAGACACAGTAACTAATTGTACAATGACGTACTTTTGATCAGATGAGCGAATAAAAGCGGGATATACGCAAAGTGCTATGACGATTTACACCATTTATTTAAACTGTTGTACGCGAACATTCCTCTCCCTTTATAGGCCCCTGGGGATGAAGGTGTAAATCACTTCCTGGATGTAGCCATCTTAGCATCTAAAACATGCATGCACTATAAACATAGTACATAGGATAGTGATTTTACATGACATAGACTATAAAATACAGGTCTCACATTACAATTAAACTCCTCATAGATGACAATGTAAACAATAGAAAAGCAGGTATGTTTTACACACAGAATCAATGAGTCGCGCACTCTAATATAAAAAACAAAATGAATAGACAGAATTTATCTAATTTTTAAAAATTGAATAATAACACAACAGTTCTACGCATCAAACATTAAACAAGTTTTTTTTGCGCTAACTAACTAAGGAATCAAAGACTAAGAGATTAGTCATCTCTTACAAAAAAAGTTGTGTAATGTAAATAATTAACAGTAATACTTCATTCAAGTACAAAAGGCCACCGTCTCAAATGTATTTATCATATAAACACTATAACTGGTGTTGAGGACGCAAAAAACACGAAAGACATAAGATGACTAAAAGTACTTTATTTTAGTGTGCATTGTGTTAATCTATTTAATCACGGTGACCAATTGAAGTGCAATATCTACACTCTGATTCAACAAATATATGAATATATAGAAATAGAGTGTGACTCAAACTGCAGCGTGAAATCTTTAGTATAGCATGGAATACACAAATAAGTTGTATGCGTACTCCAACTGCGCTCCAATGCATTCAATACTTTGCCTTATCTCAATACATGAACACAATGCATCTAAAGTTCGCAAGTCATTTATGAAATTCTCAATATCACCTTTTAACATTTGAACGTAGAAAACATTAAGATGTTAATTCGAGATACACACGAGCTGCACTCGCATCAATCAATACATTGGTTGTTCACGTGTAGGTAAAACGATAGCAGAATGACGTACTACTAGACATGTAAACATTCCCCACGAGTAACAATGATAAGTTTTATAATGTCCGCATTCGCAATATCCTTCCTTGAATACGATGACGTCATAGATTAAAGTAACATGCATAGTGTACAATACAGAATGTGTGTTTTGTTATAAGACGGGTTTCCCACTTTCCTCTGTCTAGTGTTTCGATTGCGTGTGTGTATCACACAAACGTAACATTTGTTTTGAATTCTGTTTAATCATGTCATTTGTCTAGATGTGGAACTGCATTAATGCATATTAGTATTAAAACTCTACATTTACCGCACCAAGTCATGTTCGATATGGTCCCCGCGCGACGCGTGTAATACACTCAAAAATCGAACGTGCGGGGCGCTGCGTCACAGCGGTCCAATCATTCACCTTTTAAAAAATATGCCGACCATAGCGCAAAGTGACGTCATTAAATCCGTGTATACCATCCCGATTATCTAGGTACTGTGCAATGAGAAATCTGTACTATGCGAAACGAAAATAAGTAACTGTTTCAACAACTCTGCAGCATTTTTAGTTTATTTGTATACAAGATTACAAACAATTGAAAGAGAATATGATATATCAAATTAACCATGAAAAAAATCAATTATTTATTATTACATACATCTAAAGAGGTAGGATAACATTCGATATTTTGTAACGTGTTTAAACAATACTGTTGATTCATATTGTATCTTGGTAGTGATAATAGAGTGTAGTATTTCCTAAAAAAACGATGGTTTGTCATGAAACAATAGTATTTATTCGACAAATTATTATAAAACCTATTTTTTTCCTTTAAATAGAAACAATTACGTTTTCATTATTACGCCAACAAACACTTCTATATGTCTGTCAAAATAAACTAAATCAAACTATATTCTCATTGCCTCTTTAACAGTTTCCCGATAATACCAGTGACACTGTCGTGGATAGTTTTTTTTACCAAATACATATGTAATCTAAACAATTAATTAAAATACGCAACATTGAATGTATGTATGGTACTGTACCACGTGACATCGCCTCGTAAGTGAAATTACATAAATAATTCGAGTACCATACCTTCTTAAACGCATAGTTAATAATCGGAAGACAGTTAGTTTCATTTTATAATGCCACTGCAGTCATACTGAATTACAATTGTCAAAAGACATTCATCATAGATTTGAATTTAATCCCATAAAATGGTAAAAATGGCTTACGGCGGTTTTGACAACTGAAACTGTTAATGCTCTCCTCAAACGTATTTATCACTATATGACACATTACAACAGATTTCCGTCCCGGCGACATTTTCTTATTTGTACTAAAAGCACCCCAAGGGGCGCCACGATCTCGAATAACCACCTAAGTTGGCCAATTAAACAATTTCTTAGTAGTGTCTGGATTTGAAAACAAAATGGGTGTATAAAAAGATGTTCATGTCACCCTTTGGCAATTTAACCACGCCAGACGTTGCTATTTTCTAGTATGTTAGAATATGAACTTTTTTTCACAATTAACAGTCAAGGATGAAAGTCATTAAATGTACTGGCTCAGATATTTTGAGAATTAATTCCTTCCACGATACTTTCATGCGAATTTATGTATTTATTTGCGTCCTTGAACATAAATGCGAAAATAACATAGCAGAATACAATAGTTTAAAACAATGATGAAGACAAATTTGATATAACAATAATATATTCAAACTTATCAGCCCCATGAGATAGATTGGTACATCCCTCAAATCAGTATGCGCGTTTCTTGTACGGGCCCAATCAATCATGTGTATATGATTTGCAAACCTGGTGAGGGATACACAACGTAAGTTGACACGCAATCGTACCTTTTCCCGTGGATGCCAATTAATACACCCATCCACCCACTCACTGACAACGCGGCATCAGCTGCAGTGAACGTGCAACAATAGGACGAATATACAGAGTTTGCAGCAGTATCAAACAAGTATTAGCAATAAATTAATAAATATTCTATATTTGTCACATCGGTTGAATCATCTGATACATTCAGATGTAAAGGTTATCTTCAGGTTAAATTTCGCTTTAAAGATTCAGCATTAGAAAAAAAAGAAGATTAGAAGATCGTACAAAAACAAGGTAATGGTAGTTTAGCATAGCTACTGAATCACACTATTAGTTGACATTGTTCAACATCTTTCAACCAAAACAATGCTGTTAAATTTGGTGAAATTAAACATGCGTTTTTAGTTATAAATATATAGTAAAACAGTAGCCGATTTTTCAAGAGGTAAATTTATCTTTAACGTAACATGACTATGAAAAATGTGAACGCATTGAGATAACATGAGATATAAAATAAATTTAATTCCTAATAAAAGAAAACGCATTCATATATTGAATTTGGCTTATATACTCGACCAGCACAAACATGCACACAAATCAAATGATTGATAATAGAATACACTAAAATGCGTAATGTCAACGCAGTGAGAACATGTTATGTGCTCCCCGAAGCCTACATTTAAGTAGTGGCGCATTAAGTATCTGTAGTAGCCGTATATTGTTTAGAGTATGCATATATTTCACAGGTACGTATACATATATTAAATATCTATCTTTCAAATATATCAGATTTGATTTACACACACAGCTTGTACGAAATAGACATGTACAATACAAGGAATATTAC